GTGGTTGTTTTTTAGATTTCCTTCTTCTCTTTGCCTGTCACTTCTGCCTAGTGAAAAGAACCATTGGCGTCGTTGTTGGTGGTTGTAGGTGGGCACGGCAAGGGAAACTTATACATCTCTAGTCCGCCCTCACTCCTTGCCACTGCTCGCTTGCGCAGCAAAAAAAAAAAGCAAGACCTCTTCATACCTTTATACATTTTCGGCCCTCTGTGCAGACTCGCTAGGGAAGCATAGCGACACATCACTGCACGCAGGGTGTCACCTAGTAACTTTTTTCTTGATGCGAGCCATACCTTGCCAAAATCTCTTCTCTCTCGCTCGTCTTCACGCATGCACACCAGAGACACGCACCCCTCTCCCTAGACCTCAGGCTCCTAGCCCTTTTCTCAATACAACTCTGCCGCATGCACTCACACCCACAAACCCACGCCTCAAAAGGAAAGATGTTCAAGAGTAAGTTGAGCGCCCCAATGAGTGTGGTACCTGCTTGTGCAGGGAAGCTCGTAGGTGGTTTTAAATCGGCGTCTCCTCTCCGGCACGAAGCGTAGGTATAGGTGAAACAGCAGCATCCCGCGCCTTAAGCTCCTTTTCCTGTGCTTGAATGGCAGCGGCGGCAAGGGCGCCCGGAGATGTTACTGGAGGTTCTGCGACAGCAACGGCCTTCTTCGCGATAGTTCCATTAGCGGTGGGCTGTTTCTCACTACTTCCCTTCACTACTGTCGACTTCCACAAATGGCGATTGTCAGCATTGCCAAGGCCCCCACATGCCGTCGTTGTGTCCTCTGGGATGCTTGGCTGAATCTTGCGCCACACCACGCCCGCGCCCTCTGGACGTGGCCCAAAATAGCCCCATCCCCTTTTCGCGGTTGAATCACCGACACCGCTGCCAGCGGCGTCCGCCTGCCCTGGGGAGAGTGATTTCGGTGTGGCTCCTTGAGCTCCTTGGAGTTGCAGGATATTCTGTAACTTGACGGGATTCCGCTTATTGACAGGGTCTCTGGCCACCTCACGTACGTCGTCCATGGTGTGCTGGAGCAGGTGTGATGCCTCACAATGCGGCGGCGGTGTGACGGAGCAACGATGCGCGTTTTCGTACGCCTCGCGGATGGTGCCTGCCTGGTACACGCCACTTCCCATCTTTGTTGCGTCCTTCGCCTCAGCCTCCGCTGGAGGAGGTGGAAGTGCCTCGAAGGGCTGCGGGCGCGGGCCTTTACCAGTTGATTCCAGCAAGGCGTGCCGTTCCGCGTCTGCCGTCGCCTTCACGCGAGCCTTGTGTTCAAGAATGAGAAGGCGTTCAAGACGATCAAGGTCCTCCATTGCCTCCGCCTCCTGCTCCTCCTTTGTCTTCGGTTTGACGGCCACACCAGCGCCAGAGCCACAAGCCCCACGCGTACCGCCCGTTGCGATTGTGTATTTGTCACCCTCAGGAAGGCCGGTGCGGCCCATCTTGGCGTTGAGTTCGGTCTGATTCACATGGTGCTCGGGGTCGTCAAGCTCAAACGACGGCGCCCCCTTTCCAGCGCCGGCCTTACCCGGCGCCGCAGCATTGAGGGGGTGGGAGTTGCTTTTCTGCTGTGACGCATGAAATTGCTCGAGGGCGGCGCCGACGCCACGCTTCTTTGCGTCGACGCTGCGGCGGCTGTCGCAAAAGTCGCACTGACAGTGATGGTGCGACTGGTACTGCACCGAGCCGTACGGCACCTTCACCGACATGGCTTCTTCCCGAGTGTGTAAGTGTGTGAGTGGATTTGGCGTCTGTGAGGCTTCCTCGCTTCACTTGCTGTGGAGCAGTGCGTCCGCCCCCTCGTCCTTGGCGGGATTTTGCACGGGGACGCAGCACAAGCAAGAACAATAGCAACAACGAAGAAACGAAACGAAACGAAGCAAAAAAAAAAAAAAAAGAATGACTCCTCCCGTGAGTGTGCACGGGGACCATGATGCTCCTCCTCCCAACGCCAACAACGCCACACTTCGCCCTGCCCTCCGAAACCTCCCGCTGCCGCAATCGCCACATCCACGCAAGAGGAACAACAGGGAACAAAAAGAAAAACAAGGATCTCACCGCAGCCCACCGCACCACTACGAACAGTCGCCTCTCCTTCCCCAACCCCAGCGCACCATCATCATCTTGTCGCTATTCGTCCCTTCCGCCTCGGCCCTTTTTCACCACCCCCCGCACACCGCGTCAGGCATCCCCATGGGGCAGATGAATATACGCCTGGTCATCTCAAAATGAGACCCCCTCCCCAGTTGATGGCAGAAAATCCAAGAAGAACAGAGTAACAAAAAGAGCAAAGATGAGAAACATAAAAAAAAAAAGAGGGAACCACAGTGTCTAGGACAACAGAGCAGTACATAGCGACAAAAACAAAACAAAAAACGACAAAAGAAACGGAAAAGGATAATATGTGCACGTGCAAGTTTATAGGTGTGCCATAAGGCAAACCGGCTTCCATGGTCACGCGCGCTCCTTGATGCGCATCACAGCGTGCATACACAGTGTGATCCACCCAATCAGGTCAAACAATCAATCTCTCTGGGTGCCCGCCTCCTCGTTATTGGTTCGCCGCTTGAGAGTCGCGGATGCTGCAAAGGACGGCAGCATCGCTGGGTCGGTAGCGGCAGTTGACGGCGAGGAAGTTTCCACTGCAGACGCAGTCACATCAGGCAAACTGGTTGGGTCACGGTACCGTGCTGTGCGACTCGCAACTGCGTCCGGGGACCTTGGAACGAGGCCATCGTACATCTTCTGAAGTTGTCGGAACACAAAGTGGAGCGCCACCACGACAGACGAGGGGGCTGTCTCCTCAAATATCGCCCATTGAGACACCAGCGTCTGCCGGAAGAATATCACGACAAAAATAATGACGAGGATGAGCAGGGTGGGGGAGGAAAGGACATACATCAGCTCATTCCATCCTAACAGCAGCATCATCGGCAGCACCCAGAAAGGCAAATGCTGCTTCTCGCTTTCAATGGAGCGCAGTTGAACCTGCATGGTGAACTCACACTTTTGCGTATACACGTCAAATACCCGCTGAACCGCCTGCTGGCTGAGTAACACACAGTCCCTATCAACAGCGTCTTCAAGTGTGACTGCGGAGTCCGGTTCTGCCACAGGAACTTCTGTAGGGTACCGCGGAAACTCAGAAATGGTTGTATAGTGCAGAAAAAATTTTCGCTCCGCACTGTTTTCCCGCACCAACAGCTTTCGACGCTCGTCAAGCAAGAGGCGAGACACACGGTCAAGGTGTTCACTCCCCTCCTGCGCGGCAGCCGCGCTGTCGGTCACAATCTTCATGCGGTAGTACAGCAGACAGTCTAACAACACGAGCCCCGCTTGGCGCGCCTGAGGTTCACTGCGTTGCAGGGCCTTCGTTGTATTAAAGAAACGAACTGTGCCGTCCAATTTACGGTTGAGGGCATTCTCAAAGGCCTGATGAATTGTCTCGGCCGCGTTTTCAGCCATCGAGGCAAAACGGCGGCTGACTTTCTGAGCTACGGCATCGAACACAGCGTGCCCCACGCCCTCCTGCAGTGCTGGATCTTCTGCGATCAAAGACGCATAACGGTCATAAAAGCGTGAGACGTGCGCTTGCCCCTGAGGTTGATGGTCGGAGTTGCGGTAGAGCAACGCCATTTCCGCCTGCAGAGCGCGACACAGTCGCCTCCAAAAGTCATACACCAGCGCATGACACTTTTCATTGTCCGTTAATACAGCCTCGTTGGGGTACGCCCCTCCAAATCCCCTCTCATTGGGCGCGTAACCCTCTCCCTCCCCGTCCTCGCCTTTATTGGCGGCAAGCATCGGGATCGTCTGCGCCTGCTGCAGCATCCATCGCAGTGTTCTGTCAACAGACTCACTCACAGTTGTGTCCAACTCCACAAGCACCTTCGATGCGATGTGCTTTGCGTACTCGCCAAGAACCTTCAGCTCCGCTTTAAGAAGCTCTTCTCCCAGCGCAACTTCCGCACTCTGCACAATGTCTGCCTTGTACAGCCGTGTTTGGGTGTGAAACGCAGACAGCTGTTCGACGATCTCGCGCTCTAGTGCATCAGTGAGCCTTGAAACAAGCTCCCCACGCCGCAAGGACTCTGTGTACCCACGGCACGTCTCCGTAAAGAACTGGAGAATACTATTCCTCACCTCCGCACAACGGTGTCTTGCCAGCATCTCTCGTTGCGTTGGAATGTCAAGGTCTTTGCTTGCTCGTATCATCTCCCAGCAGCTTGTGAGGTACGACGGAATTCCATCGAGCGGGACGCCACGAAACATGCCGTGACTGTGAAATAAGTACTGCTCGCACTTTGGCAGGTAAAACCATTGACGGAAGTTTGCCGCCGCCTGATCAAACGCATCCCGCTGCAGCTTAAAGTGTGGAAGCACGTGGTAGCGTAGATCAAAGAGGACGTCAATGGTGGAGTCTTGAAACGCCTCCGGCTTCACAATGTTGTCCCATATTTTGTCAAACGATTGACGGACCGTTTTAAAGTAGAGCGTCGTGTCTGCCTCCGTGAAGTCGCGCAACACAATGAGCAGCGTCGGCTTTTCTTCTCTCGTGTAACTGTCGTGCGAAAACAGCTGCAGATTCACCTCGAAAATGGTCCGCAGGAGACTCATGTTGGCGGCGTTAAAGCGGCCCACGTCGACGGTCCACATGTTGATGATGAGCGTGTCTGCGAGGCTGAGGGCAAAGAGAGAAAGCTGCCGCTCGAAGCTCTGATCCTCCCCACGCTCAAGCCCGTCGGTGCCCTCAAAGTCTACCACGAAAACGGGCGATGACGCGCCCACCCCTGTTGCCACCGTCGCGGGTGCAGCCGCGTCCGCTTCGCCGTCGCCGCCGCCGCCGCCGCCGCCAGGGACCTCAAAGGCGGCACGCGCGATGAAGGCACCTTTGGTTGTTTGCCCTCGCCACTTCGTCTCGTCCATCGTCTGGAAGCGGGTGCGAAAGAGGCAGTTCAGCAGCGTGGACTTCCCACTGCTCTGCCCACCAAGGACACCCACAACATGATAGTTAATGCCCACGCGGTGCAGCGCATCGCCCACGTCGGCCGCGCCCAGGGCGGTGCAGAGGTACGCCTGGATATCCTTCACCGGAAGCAAGTGTCCCTCGTCGTCGATGAGGTGGGCTTCACATGCTCTGTCGCCGCCAGCAAATGCAGCCATCCCCTCAGACTATTTTTTCCCCTGGCCTTGCCCAACTCCCCTAAGCCCGGTACGTTGTGTGTGTGTGTGTGTACGTATATACGCAATCGCTTCCTTTTTAAACTCCGCTTACCGTTGAGTAACCCCCAGAGTAATTTCTACTAATAGACTAAAAAGGAAAAAAGTAACAAAAAGACAGCAACAGAGATTGTATCTCCTGTGCGTCAAGGAGTTAGTTTCTTGCTGGTAGTTCCTTCTTATTTTGCTTTGTTTGCCGCGCTTTATAGGGAGGTCGGGCCTCACCCTCCTCTCCTCCCTTACAGTGCGCGGGGGTAGCCTTGTGTTCCTTGCGAGTTGTCGCCTTTTGTCACTTTTTTATCCTTCCAACTGTGCCTCCCTTCTTCTCTTGCCCCTCCCCCCAGCGTGTGCGGACGCAGGCAGAGGAGAAAGGATGAAGAGAGCCACGGCCACACGACACCGCAGTAGACGGCAGACAGTGAAGGCAACTCAACAGTGCGCAGAGCAAGTGAAGAGAAAGGGAAGGAAAGGAAGAAGAAACGAGGAACGAGTTTCCGCCGCATGGAGAAGAGTCCTCTGCAGGCGCGGCGCACACCAACAGCCAACTATTCATAGCGGCCAGTTCGCCTCGTCAACGAAGCCCCAAGCTTCCCTCGTGGCTGCTGCTTCCTCTGCCTTCGCCAGTGACGCCATCAGGCGCAAGTGCGTGTGTGGCGACGCCAATTCAAACTGCAAGGGGGGAAGCTTCCAGAGAAGAAAAAAAGGAAAAAAAAACAATGCGAATCAATGAAACGCAAAAAAAAAAAGCAACAAAAAAAAGGAGGGGATAGTGCAGAGCGTGTTCCTTCTGCAGCCACACGGAGGTGGACGGAGACACAGGAGCGTGCGTCCAACCCTGTTGCTGATGAAACAACAGCGGCGGAAGGGAGAACATCTGGAGTAGTACAAACGGGAAAAAAGACACGAACAAAGGGTACAGTAATGTTGAGAATACAAAAAATGCAACGAGGAACCAAACATGTGGAGCGTTTTGAAAACAAAAACAAAACAAAAAAGAAATAATAGGTTCCCCACATTCCCAGTCCCCACCTCACTTCGGCGTCTCAATCCGCCCCACCCCTTAGACACAGACGCGATGGGCGCTGGTACTCCGCGTTGTGGCCCACTTTCGCGTCTTTTCAGGCAGTGGCGCACTTGGGCTGCGCGTCGTGGGGCTGAGGCGTCGCACGTATCCGTCCCGCTCCAAAAGCTCAATAACTTTGGATCGTCGAGACAAATATGCATCGTCTGTGATATAAATCTTTCTACCGTGGTCAGTGGCACTTCGCTGCAAACGAGACAAACGCGGCGGCGCAGACGTGGCTCGCAAGGGCACAGCAGGCGCCTCTTGACCTTTTTCTTCTACTTTCGCTGCCGGCACAGTATCTGCGGTGTGAGGAATGGTGGGCGTAACCTCCGCGGAGCCGGCCCCGTCAGCGCACCTGCAGCACCTACACGGTTTGCAGCGACACTCGGATTCAGGGCACTGGCAACACTTGCACGGCCTACAGCGGCACTCGGGTTTTCCACCACGTAGCGGCAAACTTGGCGAAGGCGCCTCTCGCCCTTCTTTAACCCTGCGGCAAGGGAGAGAATGTGGTGCGGAGGGAACCGACGCTGCTTCCTTGCCCTTGCCCATGTCCATGCCCATGCCCGTCAGAGCAAGTGGTGTGCCTCCTGACACATGAGGGTCGGTTCCTTTATGACTTTTTCGCGCACGCAGATACGGACAGCTGCGGCCTCTACTCCCACCGCGGGGCGCCAGCAATGCCGCTGACCTCGTTGCCGCCGTTCGCACGCCGCTGCCAGGGTGCGGATGCTGCATTAGACCCGTTGTGGGGCACACACACACAGGACAGCCCGCAACATCCGGCCCACGCATCCGCTGAGCCGGGGCAACTGTTCGTTTCACACCGCCTAGCGAGGTGAAAACTGCCATCGGCTGGCGCTTCGGCCCACGCGCGCTCATTTCTCGCTTTCTCTCCTCAATCTCCTTACGCAACTCCCGTCGCCGGCGTTCCCGTTCCATCGCGACGGCACGCTGGTAAAAAGACCCTTGCGAATAACGGAGCAGTTGAGCGGTGTTGGACCTGTAGGAGTGCTCCAAGGAAGGCTCATAGCGAGGGGTCGCACCACGCCACACATCATCGTGTAATGCAGCCTGAAGCTGCTGCCGCTCCGCGCGCATTGACCGGTACCGCCGCTCCTTCTCCATACGCTCGTACTCCTGCAGCTCCTCCTGCTCGGGAACGCAGCAAAAGCAGTGACGAGAAGAAGAGCGTTGACGTTCCTGCAGCTGTTCTTCACCACCCTCATTTTGTTGCTGGTGGTGACGCCGCAGTTGCTGCTGCCGCGGCTGCGTAGCACCACGCTGAGGAGGAACGCCTGAGGCCTCCGCACTCTCGCGGAAAGACTCGCAGCAACACGGGGGTCGCTCGGCGGCGCATCCGCCGCAGCAGCAACCCAAAGGGGCAACGCCGTCGCCGGCCACACGCTGACCGCCGTACGCGCTCTGGTCAAAGCGTTGAGCCGCTACACGCATCTCACTTCCACCTGTCCCTGATTTCTTCTATTATTACTTTTTCTTTCTTTCCTTCTACTGAATAAAGACGAAGCTGCTGCAGTGCCCTCGCAGTTGCTCCCAATGCGTCCCCCACCCAAGGAGGCAACAATACCAACAACGAAAAAGCACCACTAAGGAGGAAAACACCCCCGCACACAGACGCGAATGCATGCCCTGCAGAAACACCCCCCATTCCCCTCCAACGGGGAGGCGCCCCACCTCACGGCAGCAGGGGAGGGGGGGGGGAAAACAAAGAAGGACATTGGCATGTCTCTAATAAAAAAAAAAAACGACACCGACTGTAATCTGAAGGAAAAACAACAAAAATTCATCTTGCCCAAAACACGGACAGCCACGCACCGCAAAGCCCCTCTCTACATGTTACGCTTCCGGCCAATCGTCCTTGTTTCAAAAAATACTATTCAGTCATCTCAATAGCACTATTCTCACTGTGGCGCAACACACATCCGCCGTCTGCGACGTAACTTTCTCTACTTATATGCGATGATAGACAGTTGGTCGGGCCTGCTCCCTCATAAAATCCACATCCAAAGCGCTTCGCACATTATCCCCATCACTCGCAGCAGCTCTAAGTAATTCACCTCCAATGCCCGCCACAGACGCAATAAGCAGCAGTAAGGAAAGCATCGTCAAACTTATAAGGAGACAGGCGACAACCTTCACAAAGGTCAGCCAGCCATCAACACACATCGTTGAGGCGTACGTGCCGTAGAATGCCACACAATCGCCGCTGTTTGTGGCTCTGATGATGCCTGCACCCCATCCTGTGGGAAATCCTAAAACGAAGAAAAACCACATCATATACACCGACAGAAACCACTTGGCGTGCGATTCCAAAGACCCAGCAGACGTCAAAAAGGCCACGCAGTAGGCCAGCACTGTGGAGACGAGGCCGTAATTGAACGCGGTGGTGAAGAAGAGGAACACCGAGAGCGCCATGTTCGCAAGGGCCGCATAGAAACAGATGCGCATTGCCCTATCAGCGTCTGAAGCGATAAAAGCAGCAGTCAAACGCTTGCGCGTCGTCAGCAAAATGCAAAGCAGCATCGCCAAAAAAAGAAGCGGCATACCAACGCCGTTCATCTTATCTACCGCGTCCGCCGCATGCACCGGGACTGCGGCGACAGCGACGGCCGCGGACGCCGACGCAACGCACCGGCGGATGCGGGCAAATGCAGGCATCGCCAAAGAAGACTGAGGAGTTGCACGGAGCTTCATTCCAAAGAATTATTGCCTAGTGGAGCAAGAATGAGGTGGAAAAAAAAAACGTGGAGCAGGTGCAAACACAAAAGCAGAATAACAAAAATCATCCACTCCCCTTCAAAACGTGTGCACACCTCCGTGCAATGCCTCGCACCCTCAACTCTTACATCGCGCAAAACCCTTCCCACACACTCCTGCCCAGGTCCACCTTCGTTGGTGTCCCCGTTGAGACTACTTTGCAGTTCCCTTGTCACCTTCGTGGGCCGAGGCGGCCTCCTTCGCCTTGTGCTGCTCGTGCTCCAGTTTCTCCTTCAGTGCCTGTTCACGTCGTGCCTTTACCTCCACCATCTCACGGTTGATGCGGCGCCGGTTCGCAATGACGTCGTAGAGAGCTCCAAGGCAGCGTCCAATCGCGGCGACAAACATGGCAATTGCCTGGTCGTTCGAGTGTCGGATCATCTCCGTAGACGTCTTGAGGTGGTAGATCTGCGGCTGCAGGCTGATGACCTCCTGCAGCACACCCAGCACATCCTCCGAAATGGGCATCAGACCCTTCGCAACGTCGTGCAAGTAGTCCTCAATCGACTGCAGGACACGGCTGAGGTGGGCCAGCGAGAGCTCCCGCTCCTGGATCTGCGTCGAGAGCGTCGTGATGGTGGAGTCCGTCAGGTCACGCAGAAGGTGCTCAATGCCTATCTCCTCCGCCTCCTCCGCGCCCAGGTGTGTCGGGATGTTGCGGAACTCCAACGAACGGGCCCCCTCACGGCCCTGGACCGTTGTGTATGCTAGCACAGGGACGCCCTTGTTGCCGGGGTCCGTGTTCACAATGCAGTACACCGGGTTGGCGGTGAAGCGATCGGCTACAAGCAGGTGCAGCAGCATGTCGTTTGGCTGAACGGCGCACGACGGTCCGGCGGAGTACCAGCCAACAACCTGGACCTTGGGGAACACACGACGGAACATATGGAACATCTCGTCCGCGTAGTTTGTGTCAACAAACCACACGTCTGAGTTGTGTGGGTCTTCATCAAAAGGCACAGCAAAACTGTTGTTAATGTCCAGCAGCGGCGTCCCGTCCGGGAGACGCTTGTAGCGGCCGAGCAGAAGTCCAGCAACGCGGCGCTTTTGCACCACCTTCGCGTTCACCCGGGCGTAGTGGTCAACGAGGGAGAGCAAGACAAGCGGGTGCACGTCAACGCGGGCAGCCGTCGGCGTAAAGACAGCCGCGCCCCCCGGACCATCACCCGCACCCCGTGCGTCGTCGCCACCGCCGCCGGCCATGGAATCGTCTATGCGGCCATCATCATCATCAGCAGCAGAGCGTTGCTCCTCCTTCGCCATGCTCTGCCTTAGCCACCCCCGTCACCCAGCAATTTCTCTCCCCTAGTTGCTTACTGTGGCCTTTGCGCTTCGTGTGTCTCGCCCTTCTGCAACTGCCAAGAAAGCGCACGGGAAAAAAAGGCGGAAGGTGCACACACAGGCGGACGCACACGCACAAATGGGGGCGACAGGGGGGCAGCAGAAAAAACTCTCACACAAAAAAAACCACACAGAAGAGAAACTAAGATGCACACCCGTGCACCTGAGGCGCACGCCGCCGAGCTACTCATCTCTCGACGTGTCTCATTCCGTCTCGTCCAGAGCAAGACCGGGAACCAACTTCAACGCACACAAGCACGCACGCGGAGCAGTATATTTTGAAAAGCAAAAAAAGAAATAAATGTCGTGAGACACGAACCACATCCCCTCCGCCGCATCACAGATCCGCCGCACCACTCAAGCAACAGCCAAGGTGCCAACTTCACCACTTGACTACTCTTCCCGGTCTCGTGGAGCCTTCCGCATGTACGACCCCTTCTTCCCCACTCGCTGTGTCATGAGCAAACCGAGGCGCTCACTCCCTACCTCCGCCTGTAGGCACTTTACTGTCCTCTCCACCGGGGGACTGCGTGCGGGCCACACTCAACCGCTCCGAGCCAAGTACCTCGGTCACGAGAAGAAGCAAGGAGAGCAGAGTAAAACCCAGAACAAAGCACGCGACAACCTTCACAAAGGCCAGCCAGCCATCAACACACATCGTTGAGGCGTACGTGCCGTAGAATGCCACACAATCGCCGCTGTTTGTGGCCCTGATGATGCCATGGTTGAGTTCCGCCGGGACACCCACCAGCACAAGAAACCACAACAGGTATATTGCCAACAAATGGACAAGGTAGTGGCGAAAGCTCTCTCGGCCATTTAAGAAAACCACGCAGTAGGCCAGCACTGTGGAGACGAGGCCGTAATTGAACGCGGTGGTGAAGAAGAGGAACACCGAGAGCGCCATGTTCGCAAGGGCCGCAACGAGGCAGAGACAGGAAGTTGTGTCAGTCAAAGCCAAAGTCACAGCCACCTGCAGCAAAGGACGTGTCATAAAGATAGTCACGGCCATCACAGAGAGGAAAAGAAGCGGCATACCAACGCCGTTCATCTTATCTACGCTAGAGGCGCCATCCGTGAGGTTGCTGAAAGCCATTTACACTTCCTCTAAGCCACAGAGAATGTAATCCTTTTTTGTTGCTGTTCTAGTAGTAACTTTGCCTGCTATTTTTACATATGATTTCTATTTCAGCGAGCAACTCCGGGCCTGTTGTGAGGGTCGCCGTGGCCACTTCAACTTCTCCCCTCTCTCATTCAAATACGCAAGAGAGAAATGTTTAGCAACAAAAGAAGGGGGAAAAAAAGAAACGGATGGAAAACACATAAACAGCATGCTGCTTCTTTGAGTGTGCTCTCCTGCCTCAATGAAGTGAGGCGTATTTCTGCCGTCGGCGCGCACGGCGGGAGTCTCTCAAAAGATACGAGGGAACGAGGGCGATGCGTGTGTAAAAAGTAAAATAAAAACAAAATCAACAAGATACTAAATCTTGAGGAGACACGCGTCCAAGGCAGGCTGCGAACGCGTACTGTGTCTGTCTCTTTGTGGCGGCGCAGAGAAGACAAATTGAGAACTGGGCATCAGCGTCCAAGAACACCACCAGAAGACAGCGAGGGAAAATGGCGACATCAACACTCTTAGTCAAAGATAACACTCTCTTCTTCTCCCAAAAACACGGGGGAGGGAGGGGGGGGGGAGGTGTAAGAGAAAACTCATTGAAATAAATATGTCGTGGGAGCGTCCTGCCGAAATAACTTCGTGGCGTGGTTATGTAAATACGTATATATATATATATATATATACATATGTATAACTAGCTGCACTGCAGCATCCATGTAAGTAATGCGGCTCTCCAACGGGCGGTTCCCCTGTTTACATTCATTTACAAACTCCGTTGACGGAATTTCCGGAATTCTTCTTACGCCCGCCTTTCTTGTCACCCTTTTTCTTTGCATCGTCTTCGGAGCAGCAGCCGTGTTGTTGTTTAATTCGCCTTCTACTGTCACCCAGAACTTTCCACGCTCAGCCTATCGTTCACTTTTCCCTCCTTTTTTTTTGTCGTGGTTCTCTTTAATTTCTGCATCACTCTTTTATTCATTCATCCAAACAAAACCTCATGACTGCGACTGGCGCCCAGATAACATTATTATTATTTTTTCTTATTGCAGCCTGCATTCATGTTCCTGCTTTTTTTCTTCGTTTTTTTTTCTCTTCTGCACCGTTCTGTGTATTTTTTCCTCCTCTTCGCTGTCACTGCCTGCATCAACTTCCTCGTTTTTTTTCCCCCCCCCACATCTTTCCTCTAATTTCTGTTATTTGTTTTCTTTACATGCCGCGCCGTGAATGGAGGCAAAAGTAAAGTTGATGCGAGGCAGAAATTTGTCGTATGTGCGCCTTTTTTCTTTTCTTTTCTTTTCGTTACTCAAACACGCACACGATACGCATACATACATATATCAGAAGTTTCGCGTGCCTCCATTTTTTTTTTCTTTCCTCCCTCATATATATCTTTTTAAACAGTTCCTTCTTCAATTCTTCTCTCTCTTCCTCTCTCTTTCTCTTCCACTTTATTTCGTTCTTACCCTTCATTCGTTTCTTATCGGCTTGCGCATATGGCCTCTTCATTGAAGAAGTTTGTTTTTCTTCCTTCGTTGCGTGGATGGTGGTGTCGCTCGAGAACCATGTGAAGTAGTTATTGGGAAGGGGTGCTTGCCTGCACCCGCACACGTGTCTGTAGATACCCACGCACGCACGCACGCACGCACGCACGCACGCTCGCACGCACGCACAGTCGTTATGCGCATGTGTGTGTGTGTGTGGAAGCGCCGCATGGGTGCCACGAATGTGATGGGTGAGCTGAGACAATACAAAAAAAACACTCATTAATACTGGGACGAATGCAACTGATAGACTACGATGTTAGCGACACACACACACACACGCAGACAGATAGCGGCGTGAATACATGTGCCGCGGGCGTGGGCCGCCTGAAAATCACAACTTCAAAGAAATAATCCCCATCAATCGCAACCCGCAGCCAGGCGGAAGTGCCCTCGCCCTGTTCGCCCTTCTGCCACAGCGGACTGGGAGGGCCAAACCGGCAGACGCGCACTCCGCAGTTACGTCTTCAACTCCCGCCAGAGTTAGTGCTCAATACCGGGCACGTCACACGAAAAAACGACGCCGCCACGAAATTAAGTCGACTGTGGCGCGCGCACTCCTCTGCAGCACGTGAGAGCAGGCAAGCAACAACAGACACCAAACCGCACACACACACACACACACATACCAACGACGCAAGGAAGCAAGATGAACGCAACCACGCACACAAAAACGAAACAGAAAAAAAAACACACACAACAAAAAAAAAAGAAACAACAACAACAAAAACACACAACAAAAAAAAGAAAATAGGGAATATGATGAAGAATCAGCAAGCAGAGGGCCTAAAAATATTATCGAAATTAGCTCAACAGTTAAGATAATAAATATGCTACCTCGCTCAGAGACATAATATAAAAAAGGCACAGAAACAAATATATAAATATATATAAATATATAAAAGTGGGAAAAGCACAACAACGAGAGGCTGACGAAGAGGGAAAAAAGAAATAAGAAAAAGAAGACAGAAGGTGGAAAAAAAAAAGAGGCGCACACAAGAAATATAAACACGGATAAAAAAGAAAAGCAAAACACACATTATATATATATACATATACATGTACATACATGCATACATATATGTACATATAATGTATGCTTTTACACTTCCACCACCTCGCTTCACAGGGATACGTATATATCGGTACGAGGACGTACACAAGCAAGTCTTTTTTTTTCTGTCAGTCCCCTTTCGTTTTTTTTTCGCATTTCTGTCGTAATCCTGTTTGCTTTTTTTTTCTGTTTCGCCTGTTTACATATTTTTATTCTTTTCTTTTTGCACTGTTCTCTTTCCCCTCCTCTGTGGGTGTAGGTTGTCCACACGTCAACCGCCCACGAGGCCCTTCTCAGTTAAGGAAGGAAAAAAAACACACACACACACACAGGGTGGACGGAAGAAAGTGGGGCAATACATGCAGTTATGAGCCCCAACCACACAAAAAGGAAGTGTGGAAGTGAGAATAAGGGGGCAATGTGGGAACAGCACTAACAGCAACAACAACAAAACAAAAAGAACGACCCAGCACCATAGGGGGAAGAGAGGTTAGGGTCGCGCTCAATTATGATGGCTTCACTGGGGATGGGCCGTCAACCCCCACCGAGAATGGAAGAGCCACGCGGGGCGAGACCGCGAAAAAATCGACGCACCTAAGCAGTATGGCAGAAGAAACAAATTCCAATGTCCACAGACAAGCAAGTGGGAGACATTCAAAGGAGGAAACGACAATTAGGGGGCACACGGGTTAATCACGAAAAGTGGGGGGTGGTTAGGTAGAAATAATACGTGTTCAACGCACAAAAAGTAAAAAGGGGACAACAGGCAAAACAAGACAAAAAAAACTGCGAAAAGCAGCCACCGAGAGCCCCCTGCTTCACAAAAAAAAAACACCTTGACGAGTCGTCAGTGTTTGTGTATTTATGTCCTTTTTTTTGTGTTAAGAGCACCATCGACGCAGAAAAACGAGTAAATAAACGACATTACTGAGTTAGTTAGTTTTTTTTGGTTCACTCATCTTCATCGTATTCCCCCCACAAACCCCACCCCCTTCTGTCTTGGGCCAAAATGTCATGACACGAGGTTCAAACTGATGGTGAACATCATTTCCACCACTCCAAAGAAATTTCTGTACGAGGGAATGCCTCTGAGGGGAACGGGCGAGCAATAGTTGCATACATACAGGTGACGATCACATGGAACTTGTGTCTAACATTGCGCACGAGTGTACAATAAGAGTGAATTACCGCATCTATGCCATTTTCCTCGCCATGCCCCTAGTCGTTAGATGCACCTCGCCTACGCATGAATATGACGTTTATGAATTTATTCGCCTTCGGCCCTCGTTAAATCGCCTGCAGTCTCGTTTACTAGTGCCCTGTCGTGTGTCGTTCGAAGTTACTTTATCCCACTTCAATGCGATCTCCCCCGCACGCATACGCTGCATTGTCCAGGTCAAGTTTTGCATACTTCATTGTTACATTGTGAATACACATTTCCGTGTGGCCCAGTTGTTTCTTTTTCTTGTTCTCGTTTTTCCCCGCTTCTCATCGCACTACATATCTTCCTTTCTCTCACTCTATTAGGTCTTAATACGTTCTCCTCGACCGCTGCTTCCTTTTGCCTTACCCCGCATGATTTTCGTTCGTTGCGTGGGACCGTATAAAAAGATATACGTGCAATGGTGAGTCCCTACCATTATTTTTTTATTGTTAATGGACCCTTTCCCCCCTCTTCGTGCTCTTGTTGTTCTCCGCGTTCCGCCGCCCGCGATTGCGTTTGCCAAATGCTTGTTACATTCATGTGTGCGTTCACGTTCCCCACGTGTGTGTGTGTGTGTGAGCACCCCTCTCCACAATGTACCCTGTTTCTTGCACCACCCCTGGGCGTCGTGCGTGAACACACACGCAGACACACACACACGTAAAAAAAAAAAATTCCCTGCTTTCCGCACTCAGTTCCCTCTCTTTTGTTCTTAGTTTATGCTTTTTTTTTTCTTTATCGTCTCCGTCACCCCTCCACCTCCCGCTATCAAAAAAAAAAAAAACCAACACCTCCGCTCTGTTGCCCACCACTTTCTCACGCATTCCACACGCGGCGTCTGTGCCACCTCGCCTGTGACTATTTGCTCATTTAACCTCACGCCTTTTTTTTTTCAGTCGCATTGCAAAGTAGAGGCAACCAATAAAAGGCAATCCGAAGGGTGCCACACAGCTGCCTCAGCCCGTGTTGCGGTGTGTGGTGTACGCCCCTCTGCGCACGCTTCCACCCGCCCTCTCAGAGAGAAGAAGGCGCGGAAATGGAAAATAAAAAATATATATATATAGTAATACACGGACGTGCCTTACGGGCGTAAGAGGCAGCCCCCTTTACCCCCACCATGGAGACCCCCAGGATCCGCCTTTCAGATTTCATTCCATTTCCACTTCTGCTCCCCCTTTCACCATCTCTTTCCAACCCCCTCCATCCATCCTCGCCCGGTCATGCATCAGGATCCTCACTGCTTGACAAGGTCGATGCTGCGCTCGCGAAGCACCAGACTTTGGCTTATTCAGCGCAGGGACCCATACACATAGAGCCATACCCTGCGTTTTTCGCACGCCCTCAGGTTGGCCTCTGTGCGGCACATGCATGGAGGAGGAAGAAGGGGGGAAGAAGGGAAAGAGAGAGAGTGCGTGCGTGCGTGCGTGAAGGGAAATAATCCTTCTTTGCATTTGCCTTCCGTCGTTGTTGTCGGCTTCCTTCTTTCATTTTTCCTGCGCCTCAGTTCTACTTCGCGTCATTTTTTTTCTTTTTCTTTTTTTCCTTCCCTTTGCATCTTCCCTCCCCAAAGTGAAAATCTCACTTCCTTCATTTGCGCAGTCCCGTGTGTATGTGTGTGTCTTCCTTTCGCTCTCTCGGTGTGTCGTATGCTTCCGTATATTTTCATTTCATTTTCTGTATTGCTCCTCTCTCTGCATTTCCTTTTATTCTTCAGTCTTCTTTTCTACGCTGTATATCCCCCTCCCACGCCCGTTCCCGCCTCTGCACTCTCGCGCAGACCCACTTAATTCACGTATGCATTCCGCCTTGTTTTCGTTGCTGCGCGTTACCAGGTCGCCGGGACCGTGGCGGCCACGGCGGGAAAATCATGACGTGGACCTGCCGCGGCGTTAGGCGTTGAGATTGTCAGCAAACATGCCGCGGATGTTGCCTGCCGGCCCGCCAAAGGCCCCCGGCCCCGCGCCTCCGCCGTAGCCACGGAAGCCGCCGCCACGACCACCTCCGCCCATGTTCGCGCCGTAGCCGCCACCAACGCCGTAGCCGCCACTACCGCCGTAGCCGCCACCGCCGCCGCCGCCGTAGCCGCCACCGTAGCCGCCGCCGTAACCTCCGCGGTTGCCGCCGCCACGGTACCCGCCGCGACCGCCACGGTAGCCGCCGCCGCCGCCAAAGAAGCCGCCGCCGTGGTAGCCGCGGTAGCCGCCACCACCACCACCACGACCATTGTTAATGTTGGGCCGCTTCATGAGCTCCATGATCTGGGGAAGGACACTTTGGTGGGTCTCATTCAACAAGGGAACAAGGTCGTCGACGATGTTGCGGTTCTTCTCGTTGAAAAAGGAGATTGCACGACCAACTTTTCCTGCGCGACCTGTTCGGCCAATGCGGTGGACGTAGTCATCAATGTTACTCGGCATATCATACTGAATGACGATGCTCACGTTGGGAATATCCAGCCCACGTGAGGCCACATCCGTGGCAACGAGTACTTGGCAGGTGGCAGACTTGAACATGTTAAGCGCCTCCTCACGCTCGCGCTGGACGCGGTCACCGTGAATCGACGCACACATGATCCGGTTATTGCGTAGGAAGCGCTCCAAGTAGTCGGCGTCGCGCTTTTTCTCCACAAATACCAAAATAAGTTGGCCTTGGTTCTCGTGCAGGAGCCTGAGGAGTTGCTCCCGCTTGTCGGTGTCTTCAACCCAGCGCACGTCTTGGGTAATATTTTCCGTCGTTGAGCCCACGCGGCCAACCTGCAAGAAGTAGTGACGGTGCAGAAATTCCCGCGCAAGCTGTTGGATCTCAGTTGGGAAAGTGGCCGAGTATAACAACGTCTGCCGCTGGCCTGGGGGTGGCATATCGCTACCCTGGCCCTGCACAATCATACGAATCTGCGGCTCGAAGCCCATGTCAAGCATGCGATCGGCCTCGTCCAGGACCATAAATCGGATAGAAGAGAAGGTCACGTAGCCACGTGTAAAGACGTCCCAAAGACGGCCAGGTGTGGCAACCAGCAAACCGCAACCTCGTGAAAGTTCATGTACCTGGTGGCGCGGATCGGCGCCGCCGTACACAACAACACATCGAATACCGGTTCGATAGGTAAACTTACGTCCTTCCTCGTGAATCTGGATGGAAAGTTCACGGGTGGGAGCCATGACCAACGCGGATGGGGAAGACCGACTTCCGTGTCCCTGCGGGCTCTGTGACGCGTTATTCAAGATAGAACTCACGAGAGGGATCAAGTAGGCTGCCGTCTTTCCAGAACCGGTCTGGGCACAAGCCATGAGGTCATTACCACTTAACACAACAGGAATACCGTACTTTTGAACAGGTGTTGGCTTTTGGTATCGACAACGTGCCACATTTTCTTTGAGAGCCGGTGCCGTGTTCATTGTGGAAAAAGACTCCATTGGTGGAATGTCATCGGGCGAGACGTGAACTTTAATAGCCTCGTACTGATCAAAGTTGATACCGGGGGTGTGCTCCTTGAATATTTCCTCTTCAGGCTTCTCCTCGCGGTGATAGGCATGAGAGACGCCTTCGCCGTGGTACTGAATTGGCCGCGGGTACCCGCCATCATGCCCAAAAACACCTCCGCGGCCGTACATGCCACCACCAACTCCCCGGCCACGGCCGCCGCGGGCGTAACCGCCATCAAAGCCTCCAGGTGCCCGTTGCTGGTAACTGCTGTACCCGCCCTGAGGGTTGCCATCCGCAAAGGCCCCAGGACGCCCTCCCCACTGTTCCTGGTGGGGAATGAATTGCGGCGGGATGTCTTTCTGGCCGTAGGAGGCGTTGAAGTGCATAGCTGCAGCTCACAACGACACTGAAAGAGGGAAAGGAAACAGAATATATATATATATATTTATATCTATAAATACAGATATAGATATCTATAAATATATATATATATTTATAGGTGACTAAGTAGGCCTCTGCAACGGTGTTGTCATCAGACGAAAAAAAAAAACAACAACAACAACAATAACAGAAAGGAAGGATAAGGCAGGTTGAAGGACTACGCGGAAATGGAAAGAAGACAATAACAACACCTCAGACACGCACAAGGTAAACTAAGTCAGCAGCGCCCTCCCCACCATCCAGTGTTACAGCGACAAGAAGTGAGCATCCACAACAGACGCCTTTCGAAGAAAAGAGAGAGGAAAAAAAAAAGTCCTTTTATCGCCTTGGAGCGAGGCAACGGCTTCTCTAGGGCTGTAGCAACGCTGCAGCTAGGTCCGCCTGCCGGCCCTGCTTGTGGCGCTGCTGGTGCTCTGATTTGCGCCTAAAAAACGCATTTAGTCGCTGCTGCATGGCCTCTCCGCGCCACGGCAAAGAGGACTGCGAAACCGACGCTTCAGCCGCTGCGGCCGCCATCGCCACCTTCGGTAACGGTGAGGGCAACAAAGCAGCTTCAGCGATGGTGGAAACAGGGTCCTCGTGCAAGCTAGGCGAGTGAGGATGCGACGATAGAGCTCCGCGCGACCCAAAATAGTTGGGGCTTCTCGGAGAGATCCGTGAGCAAACAGATTGGAGAAGCCTCATCCAGGTGGAAAACTCGTCTAACTCTACTATGCCCCGCTGACGACGCTCCCGTTGCTGCATCGAAACACGAGCCACACTTTGCCTCTCCATGCGGTGCAGGTTGTCATACTCTTCTCCCCACCCCTGCAGGGTCGTGCGACGCCTGTGACTCTCCTCCTCGGCAATGGCAGCGACGCAGAGGCAGTGGTAGGTCGCCGCGACGTCTAAACGTGAAATACCAGCAAGTGGCTGCTCGACGTGAAGGCACAGGAATGCCGTACATGAAAGCAGCATTACAACACCTCGCGGTAGCCTCTTCTCCCGACACCTTCCATCACGCCCTGCAGTCACCACCTCGCCTTCGCTTTCCTCCAAACCGCCGCAGCGGACCGCAGAGGTGTCACTCGGCCCGGGGCGGGAATCACACTCATCCTGCAACGCCGAAATGAGCCCCTTTAAGTGGTGTTCCATCTTCCAACTCGCAATCAATTCCGCCCAACAGCCCTCACTGAGCTCGCGAACGAAACGGCGGAGTTCCTTGACGACGTCGATAAAGAAAAGCGAATCCAAGGTGTCCCCGCTTTGCCATGGAGACCCCTTGCGACGAGGGTGCTGGACGCCTTCTTGACCGCCGCGCAAAGTAGCAAATGTTCGCTGCACCAACCAGCGGATAGTGGAGTAGCGACGCGTAAAGTACCGCATACGAACTGCCACAACATCCGCAAATGTCACCTCATCCCGCCAGAGCAAGCCCAGGCCAACGGCATGGACAAGTGAACGTGATGTGTGCAGCGTATCCAGCAGGTCATCCGGCAGTGTCTTGGCGAAGCTGTCCCTCGGCAGTAAAAATGCATACTCGTCGCGTGGCGAAGAGCCACGCCACAGCAAACGGTGCCTGAGGGAAGGCTCCCAGCACGGCATCTGCTCCTCCCCCTTCGACGCCGTCATAAAAGTTTCACGCTGAGGAGGTACAATCCCGCCCTGGGCGCGTTCCAGTGCAATGCAAATTAGCAGAAACAAACGATAATGAAAATGCGGGCAAGCAAGCAGGCGCCGCATCACCGAGTGGGCAAGAAGTCTCTCCGCCTGCCGCTCCTCGCGCGTCTGAGAAAACAACATACACACCCGTTCCCCATGCGTATTACGACTCAACATGCTGAACAACAACGGGGACTCCCCCACATTCTTACACAAGCCTGCGTTTTCCTCCCCTGCCGCCACGTGACCGACACTTATCGTCGAGGCGGAGTTGGCCGGAGTAAGTTGCTTTGCTTTCAATGTCAGTAAACTCTCAGCGGTATTCGACGTTGCATTCCCTCCCGGCGGTTCACACCACTCATCCACAGATGTCTCCAGACGAGAGTGCATTAACTCATCCACATTAGGCGTCACGGAAGACTGCGAGGGGGAAGGTGCAGGCCCCTTCGTTGTGCTTCGCCGCTCCCTCGTCCCAGGTTCTGGCGTGCTCGTTTCTGTCGCGTGAAATCCATGCAGCTGCCGCGTCCCCAAAGGAGATTTCAGCTCCAACGAATCGGCAGAAGTAAATGGGAATAGCACACGCGAAGCAAAAGATGGCGGCGACAGTTCTAAATGTAATTCCTCTAAAGAAGAATTAGCGCAGTGGCCATCGCCTTTGCTTTTCTCTCGGTTCACTTCGTGAAGAAGGTCCCGCATCATCGCCTCTTCCCACTCATCCTCGGCAGCACTGTCACTTCCGCCAGCGCCACAATGCGCATCCATCATGTAGGCTTCCCGGTACTGTGCCATAAACTCCTCCATGCGCAAGACCTCCTTCGGCGCAAGGCGCATAAACAACTGTTGTAGCCTCAGTCGTCGAACGATGCTCTCCTGCGCAACACCCGGCAACGAGAAACTCGAGGACGTTGAGTCCCCGGCCCTTCGAATCTTTTTCTTCTTGTCGTCATGCAACGCGGTTATCGAACCCTGCCGAATGTCACTCCTTTTCGTGTCGTTGCGTCGTCGTTGCACGACCTCCATGGGGTCAAGCAGCCCAAACGCGGAGGAACCCGCGAAGCCTCCTGATGTCGAGCAAGAGAAGTCGTCCAAGGAAGCATCATGGCCAGCGGGAGGGCTGCGGTGGGAGGAAGAAGAGCAGCCATGCGTCGCCGTGTCAGGCTGCTGAGAAGAAAGCTTGTACTTCTCCGCCAAGTCAAGAAAAAGCTCGTCCCAGTGTCCTCGGTACGCAAATAGTATGGTCTCAATGGAGTTCAGCTTCCGCGGGTTGTGGTTCTCATAGAAGCGAAGCAGACGCCTGCGAACAACCGCCTCGTCTCCCGCCTTTGAATTGGCCCACTGGGACGACATTCTTCCACTCGTCCTTCCCCCACCTCCACGTCCTCCCCCCTCTCCCCTCGGTCCACTTGTTTACCTGGGTTCACACAAAGTCATGTTTATTTTGTTTCATTTGCAGAGTGAGAAAAAAGAAGATGGAGTGGCACGATAGCCAGAATAAATACATACAACGGCAGTGGCGCAGCACAAACACGCCCTCCTCAACAATCTGTCTGACTGAAATCGACGCAAAGGTGACGGCGTGCGGGAACTTGCGCGCCGGTTTCCCCGATGCACTAGTTCTCCTGCTGTTGTCTCTTCTCTCCCCCCACTTGTGGTTGTTCTTTTTCATGTTCTTTTCATTTCTGGGGAGCATATTTTTTTTTTCATTGTTTGTTGTCTTACTTGATGCTGTACATGCGGAAAAGCAGAAAAATTACAATCCCTTCTTCTTTAGCTCGCCGCGCCGTCTCGGGTGGGCCGAGTCGGGGGAGGGACCCCCCCCCCCCACGAGTCTCCTCCACCCGTCACGGCCCCAGCCTTGCCTGGGCAATGTGCTCAGCGCCGCTTGACTTTCTTCCCGCTCCTTGTGAGCATCAATTCCTCCCGCAGCCGCTCCACCTCCGTCCTGTACGGCTCCCAGAGCTCCAGGAGTTCGTACTGCAAGGAGGAGAAGACGGTCGGTTCAAGTGCGCGCAGCCACAGGTAGTGGTCTTCCACCACCTGGTAACCGACAGCAGGGACCGGCACCATCGGCTTCTCCGCCTCCTTCCGTTCTGCGGCCTTCGACTTCTTCAAGTCAACGACGACGTGAGCCGCAGGCCGTTCCCGCTGCTCGTAGGCCACCCTGAACATATCCTCGGCGATGGCAATCCGCGACACCACAGTGTGGGCAATCGCCACGTACATCTTGGTAAGCAGATCCACGCCCGTCAGTGATATCGACGAGGCCGCTGTTCCCGCCTTGGGTTGCCGGCAGGGCTGCGGTAAATCCTCACGCGGCTGCCAACCCCGCGCGACTGCACGCGCAAAAAAGTGCGCGGCACGGGCATAGTTGTTTTCCGTAAATGCCCCGTTGGCGAGAATTAGCATCGCCTCCGTAATGGATTCGGGTGGGGCAGTTTGTTTATGCGGATGCATCAACGCCGTCGCCACAAAACTGTCGTAGTCGCTCAAGGCGGCCCCAACGTCCTCCTTGGAGGTCCGTGGACACTCGCAACTGCGCTGCTCAAATGCCTTGGCCCGTTGCAAGTACGCCATCGCTGTGCAGTGGTCATCGCCTGGCAAACTCAACAAGAGCGAGAGGTCGACAATCGCCTTGTCAAAGATGTGCATCTTCGACGCGTACACGGCGGCGCGACGAAGCAAGGTCGTCCGACGCGTTGAAACCGGCTGACGCTGGTCTAGTGCTTTGGAAAGCTCCTCCACCTCGGCGGCGGCGTCGTTCGTCATGGCACATACGTCTGCGGCGCGCAAGTAGTAGTGGGCGCAATCCCTGCGTAGACGCTGCAAATGGCGCAAATTTTCCCAGGTCAGTGATGCATCCCCGACGGCAATGGCACTCTCCGCGGCATCCTCAAGGGCTGCTATGTAAGCTGAGTTTGCCACCGCCAAGTCGTAGTATGCCCTCGCCTCCTGTGCCAGCGCCTCGGCCGAATGGCTCGCCGAGTCCACTGAGGAGGTCGACGCTGCTTGCTCTGACTGCTTCTCCCGCACAAGACCCAGGCAGTAGTAGGCGTGCGCCTCGTAAAAACTGGGAGAATCAAACAGTGTGGCGATGGGACTCGCGACCGGTGCGAGGGAACCAGTTGTGGCTGCCTTCGTCATTCGTAGCAGTTCATGCAGGTGACGTTCCGCGGCCTCATATTGTCCTGCCTTTAGTGCACATTGTCCCGTGTGCGCCATCACAGCCATAGTGGGAGGGCTGAGAGAGAGATACTTCTTATACTCTTCATACGCCTCAGCGTCATTCCCCAGGTGCTCGTGACAGGCACCTCGCAACGCATAGGTGACAGGCGTCAGGGGGTCGATGCGGCTGCTGAGGTTGAAGAGCGCAAGCGCCTCTGCATACGCGCTCTTCCGCATCGTTAGCTTGCCAAAGCGGCGCAGGACCTCAGCCGTCCTCACGCGATCCTGCTCCAGGTTTGCGTCGTCGTGGGCAGAGACGCAATGGGCCGCCCCCAGCGCAATAGATTCCGTGTGGTGCAGTTGCTCGAGAGCCCCTTGCAGGTACTTCTCGGCGTCCGCCAACTGCCCCGCCGCCTCGGCCGCCTCGGCGCGATCCAGGCACCACTGCACGGGATCCGACGTCGTCGGTGACGGCGCCACCGACTTCCCTGCGCCCTCGCGTCGCGCGGAGAGGGCGGTCGTCTTCCTCCCCCCGACCCGCTCCAACAACGCGCGGGACGACGCGCCCAGCATCGGCTCGCCCCCGGACGCCAGGACTGAGCGCCGGTACTCTTCAATAAGCCGGCGACTCTTTGAGCTGGAGCGTCGCTGCCCCAGCGGCCTGGGCGACGACTCGCCCGGCATCGTCTCTGCGTGGGGAGAATTCGCCTTCATTTTGCCTTCTTTTTTTTTTCTATCCCTTCCCACCCTTTGTGTGCCTGCGCCGCGACGGGGCGAATTTCAACGCGCCCTCTCAGTGCAGCCTGCATCGTCGGCGGAGATAAGGTAGCGGCCACAGAAGAATATATATAACAAAGAGGAAGAGCGTTTCAACTTGGGCGCAGCCTCACGCAAGAGGAGTGGCCTCCCAACGAGAGCCAAACAAATATAGAGACACACATATATAAGTGAACAAATATTCATAGGAAACAAAAGCAAATGATACCATACATAACAACAAGACAGAGACACGCCGGGGTCACATGCTATTCAACATTCAAGCCCCACCTCATATCCGCCGCCTCGACATCGGTTGCCTCGACGTAACATTTTTCGCCGTCGTCGTCAAAGGAAACGGCGGCACCAAGCGGTGGGGCAATCACAGGCTCCGTCCATTTACGACCCAAGGTAGCAAACTCCCGTACACGATTATCATACAACTTTCGTCGCTGCAGCTCCAGCACCTCATCATCACGCAGGAGTCCCAGTCGTGGGATAAAACGGCTATGCTCATTTGTTGTCTTGTGAGGAAGATCGGTCATCGTGCCACACCTACATATCCCCTTTGACCAATCACCACTGAGGCACTGCTGTCGCTGTACATAACACCAAAGACCAGGACCCTCACGCAGCCCAAGGGCCCAGTAGCCGTCGTACCAATCGCCATTGGTCTGAAGCAGGAGGGCACGTCCATCGCAGAGGCCGTTGCGGAACTCCCCCTTCAGGAGGTCCCCATTGGCCAGAAAGAGTCTACCAAAGCCGTTGCGCTTATCCTCAGACCACTCCCCCTCGTAGATATCGCCGTTCTCCTCCCACGAGACACCAAGCCCGTCGCGCTTGCCAGCTAACCATTCACCTTTGTATACCCGTATCCACGGGGATTTTGCGTCCGCACGAATCCACAATGTTCCCTCACCCTCGCGTAACCCATTCCGAAACTCCCCACGGTATTTACTGCGCTTCTGTAGCAATTCCCCGAAACCGCCAAACTTGCCATCCTCCCATTGTCCCTCGTAGGAGGCAGTCTTGCTAGGATTGAGGAAAATGCGGGAGCAGAGACCATGCGTCTCCACCTTGCCCGGCACTCGCTGGGCCCGTGACTTGCAGCGCTCAATCAGTTTCGCCTCGTGATTCAGTTCAAACGTCAAGTCTCCGCGTCTTCTAGGGCTGGTGCCATACAATTTTTGGTGAAGTAGCAGCAATTTCTCCTCCTCCTCCGTCAAGGGTCGCCCAGCAGAGTCCGAGTTATAAATCTCCGACACAACTTCCTCCCCAAGTAGTGCCTCCTGGCGAAGCAGCTTCCGAAGCAGCGAACCTCTCTCGGAGATCACAACGATGGGTCGCAAGACGCACTGTAATTGGCGAAAGAGTTGCAAGTTTTCGAGGGTTTCAATTGACTCATTGTACTGCAATAGACTCGTGCAACCAATCACAAAGGAAGCCTCAAAGCCACATATGAACTGAGACATGACACGGGAAAGCTTACACTCCATAAAGAAGGATTGGCTATGACGAATAAGTTCACGATGCCTTTCTGGCGTGGTAGACAAAGACCGGCGTTTCCTACGGTACTCAAGCGAATGAATAACCGCCGCACAAAGGAGTGTGACACCGACATTAATGCAGCTACCCTCTCTAAGAGGCTCACCACGCATGCCCTTCTCCCCCACTCGGTCCGTCCCTTTCATGTGCACAAACGTCATGGTACGAATAATATTTTTCGCCCCTTCTGCCTTGTCGGTGGTCACAATGATAAGCTGCACAAAGCCGTGCCAGCGAAACGTCCGTTGGGCCAAGCGGCCCATCCGGATTTGGTTTCCACGGTTTAGCTGCATCAAAAATTCTTCCACCGTTGGTACCTGCACCGTTGTCAGGTTGGGTATGTTCAGACGGTCCAAGTGGTCACGAGAGACGGCGTACTGAATGCCCTCCTTTCCCTCATCCTCCGCACGTAAATTGTCCTCCACCGAATCCCGGTTCATTTCCCAGTACCGCAGCATAATGCTCGCCTCGCACTCGTCCGAGTGGGCTTCCAGGCGGCTATAAAGATCCTTTACCGTGCTGAAGAGAAACCCCTCATCTTCCCCGCCGCCGTAGAGCGTGTGGGTTTTGCCTGTATCCGTAAAACCAAAGAACACAGCATTGCAGCTCACGCCCCGCATTGCGAGATCGACCATCTGTGAACCGATGGTGCAGTGAATGTCCTCCTCGGTCGCGGCGCCGGAGAAGTAGTAGTCGCAATTGTACATAAGACCCTCAGTGCGGCCTGGCGCGTAGGCGATGAGGTTGCCCTCATCCATCCGAAGATGCAGCTGCACGTTCGCAAAGTCGGATTCCATGACGGGCCGCTCACGCACCGCAACACGAAGACGACCAAATGATGAAATATCCTCCATTGCGATTGATCACCCTCCTTTCCCACGCGGCTTTACTCTTACTTCTTCTTCTTCTTCGTTTTTTGCTTCGCTTCCTACCCCCACACCTACCCACTGAGGAAATTTCCTTTCTGGCTCTCCCTTCCTTTGCTTCAAAGGGAAACGAGGATCAACGTCTGTTCCCCTTCGCTTGCGCAAAGACGACTGAAACAAAAGAAAGAAACGTTTGAATTGCCGCAGTAACTGACTCTTTCAAGATAACTAAACACACACGGACACTCACACTTCTAAACTGTGACGCCGCATCTGGCGGCGCACCAGAAGAGTGCAGGCCAAGTTGAAGGATACACCAAGGGGCCAAAAGAAATAAATAAAATCACAAAAACGAAAAACGAGTTACGGAATCCATCGAGACTTAACTCTACTTCTTCGGCTGGCTCTTTGGTACAGGGACGCGCTCCTGGGGCTGTGTCATGAAGAGCTGCACATGGCACGGACTGCACATGTACGGCGTGATACGGCCGTGGGCACGGTACGTGCGGCGGCGCATACGGGCAGCCTCATCCACCTGCACGTGCTTGATGACCATCTTGTTGGGGTCAAGACCCTTCTCAATGGCGTTTGCCTCAGCGTTCTTCAGCAGTGAGAGCATCGCCACAACCGACTTGCGTGGCCAGCGCCCCTTCGTCTGCCCCCACTCCTTTGCCTGTGCGGTACGGCCAATCTTGCCATTGTAGCGCTTGAAGGGAATGCAGCGGGTCTTGGCGAGAACCTGGCGGTAGAGCTTTTGGGCCTTGCGAAGGGGCATGCCGTTGATCACGTTCGCCGTCTCAAACGTGTTCTTGAAGTGGCAGCGAAGATCACTGACCTTCGCC